GGTGGTATGATCGTGGCATTCATTGCAATGCGAACCGCCGTTAGGACCCCATCCCAGGATCCATTCACGAGTGTCGTCTTGGCATTTATGTTTTTAACAGCGATCAAGTTGCGTATGTCTGATGAGGCACGCTCGACCATAGAGTTGGTTGAGGTTACGCGTAGTGGATGAAATTGCGACGAAGACCATATTCTTCCCGGAGGTTTTTCGACTCTGCGCGGAACTACACGGTACTCTATCCATGATAACCTCAGCAAGGCCATGGGTACCGAGTAACGCACGTTTGTTCTAGGACGTGGGCTACTTGTCTGCTGACTTGGAGCAGATCTCGTGCAATCTCGAACCATCCGGTTACGGCTGATCAATCATTGTCAAGCAATGACGTGTGCAGGAATTCTTTTTCTTAGGATCCCCGACGTTGTAAGGACCTATCAGTCAATCTAGTCTAATCATCCAAGGGATCTCCTCGCAAGTCTTTGGAAGGCATCAATCCCAGCTTACGCTTTGGGTTTGTTCATCTGGCAGCTCTTGTAACGCTGACATACGGCCTCCACAGCCTGCGCAGTCCTTTCCAGGTGTAGTGTTAGCTGATGGTCGTTCTGTGCGAGTCTCGCCAGGATGCATCAGTACACCACGGTACCATTCGACTAGCTTCTTCTGCATAGTCTTAGGTAGACGATCTTGTCGTCTTGACTACTAAGTCGTAAGACTTATCCCCTCTGGGAAAAGATTGCTTCTTGTAGTCGTTTGGCTTGTCCCTGAGAGAGTCTTCGTTGATATCGTTGTCGTCTTCTGACGATGTTCGATCTCGGGAACGAGAGAAGGAACTCGCTAGGGAAGTCCTCTTCGTCTGCAGCCATGAGCTCAGCAAATCTCGCTGCCTCCATCTTTTCTGAAAGAACCATCATTGTTGGAGATGTTAAGTATATCGACAACGCATCCGCAACGATGTTTGTGTTCCCCTTGATGTACCTGTATTTCAGGGCCGTATTCTTCTAGAAAAAGGCGCCATCGCATTACGCGATCGGTATTGAAGTTCTTACATGTAAGATTCTTGTGTCCGGATGTACACAATCTTCTGTCCTAGAAGAATGTTACGGAACTCTTTCAGAGTTTCTACGATACTGAGAAGTTCCTTCTCGTACGTGTAGCGTGGTCTGAGCAGGGTTGAGCTTCCTCCTGTAGAACGCGATAGGTTTTCCCTTCTGGAAATTACTGCACCTAGTTGAGTATCACTCGCATCCGTGTGGATAACGAATGTATCGTTGAAGTCAGGGTAGGCGAGCAAGGTTTCTTGCTGATGATCTTCTTCATCTGGCTAAAGGCCTTGTCGTGTTCCGCTTCCCATTTCCACTTCGTTGTTTTGGAAGTCAACGAAGCGAGTGGGGCCAGTACATGTGATCGTCTAATCCACATGTCTCGATAGTAGTTCACTAGTCCAATGAATCTACGGAGTTCTTTTCTGTTGGTAGGAGGAGCGATATTCTGGATCGCGTCTATTTTCTTGGTTATAGGTTTGGATCCCTTCTCGATAATCCAGTACCTAAGTATTCAAGTTCTCCCTCTTGCGTAGAAGACTTGGTAGCATTGATCTTAAGTCCGGCTTCTCGAAGCCTTCGGAGAACTTCATCAACTTTTCAACGTGATCTGCCAGACGCCGTTAGTTAGGATGAGTAGATCATCAATGTATGCACGGACGTATTCTAGGTCGTGCATTAGTTTTCCCATCTTCTCTTGGAAGATGTCGGGACTATTACATAGCCCATTGGCAACCTCTGGTATTCGTACTTTCCCCACGGAGTACGATAGTACAGAGTTGTTTCGAGTGAGGTGACAGCTCGATGTGATAGTATCCATGTTCAGGTCTAGACTAGTGGCGTACTTGAATCCGTCTAGGTTCAAGAGCATGTCCTGTTATTTTGGATAGGATAAGGCTTCCGCTTAATCCTTTTGTTTAGTTCCCGGAAATCAGAGATGAATCGTACAGATCCATCCTTTTTTGGGAATGATAAAAGTTGGTGGCCGCCCATTCGGAACGGTTCACCTTCTTGAGTACTCCTGCTTCGCAGAGACGTCAACCTCCATCTTAAGAGTGTTGGTATGGACACGCGTGAATAGGATAAGCCCTAGCGTGATAGGTTTAGCGTCAGGGAGGAGTTCTACTTCGTAGTCGTCCATCTGCCACTTTCCTAGAGTGCCATCGAATAGGTCAGAGTACTTCGTTAATAAGGAATGAAGCGTTCCTGCTCTTCCTTATTAACTGTTTTTGACTTTGGCAACCTGCTTTAAGTCAGCTTGTTCGTATTTCGCATCAAGAATCTTCTTGAGACGATCTGCACTGTCGTCAACGCAGTAGGATCAGGACTGAAGAAATTCTCTTCTTCATTGGTGTCGCTATCTTTCATAGGAATAGATATGCCGTCCCACTCCACTGACATGGTAGTGAAATCGAACTTAAATCCTAAGTCGGAGAGAATGTCTGACTATGATCATGTCATACGCCCCAAGCTCTTGGTGACGTGTAAATCCCATTCGATAATTCTATCATCGTGGAATTCAGGAATCATGAATGCACCTTTGCACTTCGTGCTGGTGTTTAAATCTCCTGCAGGGGTAGTCCACATGGTTTGACGCCCCCAAGATCCTTCACGTAATTTCTTAGCATGAGTTTGAGCAATCAAAGTTCCGGATGCTCCTGTATCCAGTAAGCAACGGAGTGTAACGGGTTTTTGTTTCCCTTTTCTCGCTTGTTAAATCTAACATAGACGATAGGTTTGAGGTCTCTTGTCTTGCGACGTTTACGAGGTGGTTGGCACGGACGAGGTTAACGATGCTAAATAGATCATCAAGTCTAGTTGAGCAGCTTCTAGGCAATCATCTAATTTGCCGGGTTCATCGGTTGCAAACATTCTTGTTTACTAGTTAGTGAGATATCTTCATCACTTGGTATGAGAAATCGGAACATGGTCGTTGAGTCATCATCCTGGCCTAATCCTCAGATGGAGATTTCTCCATCCAAGTGATTGAAATCGATAGAGGGTTGTCCTCGTTATCAGAGTCTTCTGATTTGCGCTTGGCAACATGGTTGCGAAGTTTGCAGGGGTTGCACGAGTATGTGGATCTCGTGTCTTCGTCATTGTCGACGAAAGGAAGAATGGGTTTGTTCACGCAACTGTTTCTCGAAGTTGCTGAACGCATGTTTTCCTTGGCCATCTTCATGGTGAAGGAATAGTTGAGGGTAGCTGAAAGCTATTGTGTTTGTAACAAAATGCACTACACTAAAAGCTAGTGTAAAGATCTTTCGAGTGTTTTGAGTTTGAGAGAATGAAAGTTATGAGAGAGATTAGAAAGCTATGAAAAACTAATCAACGAGAGAGATCCACAATCAAAGGATCGTAGATCTGAACTCCCGCGGGAGACTGTAGAGTGTGATAGAGTAGTTGCGGTAGCAATCCTACTCACTCCACGATCCAAAAACGGAACGTGGAAGATTCGTCTAGCATTTATCTAGTAGCGTGGAAGTACTCCACGCTGGCTAAATATTTTTTTTTTTCTAGAACGCCGATTGTTTCATCATCAACCTAGTATGACTAGAGCGGTCATTGAGAACCCTGTCTTAAATGACTATTCACGAGAGACTCAGTCATGAGTCGAACTCAAACCCTATCTAGGATCGAGTCGCGAATAAGGCTAAGAGCCGTGTATTGCACTACTGCTAGTCCTGCATTGGCGTTGGATTTGAAGTGGCTTGTTTCAGTGAAAAATCTTTGGTATAGGTATGGTCGATCTCTGAATTCAGAATACGAGGGTTTTAGCCAGATCTCTACAAGGGTGTCGGGTGCGTGTTTAATGGTGTCGAAGATGGCAGGGCCAATTAGCATTTGGATTTGGTTGATGCGCTGGCGGTTTAAGGTCTTGACAAGTCCTAGGAGTAAGGGGTTGCCGGTGTCATCGTCGCAGATTGCAAAGGTGATATAATTTTCTGGGGATAGGTTGGAAAGGTGTTTAACGGTTGCTTTAGTAAAGGAGGTTATGGTGAAGCTCCATTATTTAGCCCTGGCTTGGTTGAGAGTTTGATTGTACATCCTCATACAAAAAATGAAGTTTAGGGAATGGAGCAGTGGTCCAGTCCGCGGGACGGTATGAAGTTTACTAATGGCATGAAGTTACTAATGGCATGAAATTTGGATTCTAGGTTACGGATTAAGGATACGGGGTAATGGATTTGGATATGGGGAATTTGGATTCTAGGGACGCATGGGGAATCTTGGATCGTATGGGAAATTGGATTCTAGGCTACGGGGTAAGGGGGGTTTGGATATGGGGAAATTTGGATTCTAAGCTATGTGGTAATGGTTTTGGATATGGCGGAAGAATGATATTTTTTGACTAATGGCGCTCAGTTACCGCGTGGCTATATGCTAGTTGGGGGCGCTCAGTTGCCGCGGTATGCTAGTTGATAGTTGATTAATTGGATTAAATGAAATTGGATTAAATTAGTAGGGCGCTCAGTTGCCGCGTGGCTGTATGCTAGTTGATAGTTGATTAATTGGATTAAATGAAATTGGGTTAAATTAGTAGGGCGCTCAGTTGCCGCGTGGCTGTATGCTAGTTGATAGTTGATTAATTGGATTAAATGATAGTTGACTAATTGGATTAAATAAAATTGGATTAAATTAGCAGGGCGCTCAGTTGCCGCGTGGCTGTATGCCAGTTGATTAATTAGATTAAATGAAATTGGATTAAATTAGTTAGATAGGGTTAGTGTTAGTTGATTGCTTTGAGGTGCGCTCAGTCGCCATGAGGCTGTTAAGTCTTTAATAAGTGCAGGGGAAACATCTAATTAACAGCGGTCCCCTCTTGAACCGCAAACCACTAAAAGTACTGTTTTTTCTATAGTAAAGAGGGAAATGGACCGAGGGGGGACGGGGGACCGAGGTGATGTAATAATATAAAATCTCACCTCGGTCCCACTGATTAGGGTGAGGGATATAAATGGTTCAAGTTGACGACGCCTTGAAGGCAAGCACGGCTTCTTGCAAGCTCCGAATGTAGTTGTTGTCGTATATGTTTTGTGTCTCGACACTGCCAATAAATGCATGAACTGCAGTCTTGGCCATCACGTCTTCAACTGGCGTCCGATCCGAATCCGAATCGGAAACATTGTTGTTCACTTTTTGCGGGCTCCGTTCGTTGACATGAGCGGCAAACTTGTACAGCACTTCAGTGTACCCCTCTGCTTTTTCATTGAGAATCTTTTGGGCTGCTGCTACAAACCCATTACCATCCAATCTGCTAGAAATTGCACATCGTGCCATCCCTTCGAGTACCGAATAGAGTAAAATCGTTTCGGTGGAAGCGCCGAAAGGTGCAGTAAGCTCGGTGGTCGTCGAAGACGGCATGGACGATCCAGTATTGATCACAAAATTTGGTGCAACGCGAGCAATTTGATTCAAAGTAATCCAGGAGTCAGCGGGCAGATCAGTATAAACCACACTGTTGTATTGAGCCTGGAAAATAGACGGTCTCGAATCGTGAATCCTTCCACAATGGAAATCCCCAATTTGTCCAAAAAAATTCCAATAAGAGCTTTAACACCTGCGTCCTGGCACATTGTTTCCAGCTCATCTAGCTTGCTCGCTTGCTTGAGTGCGTCGTAGCACCTCACAGCCGAATCTTTGAAGAAGAAGAAAAAAGTTACATCGACCTTACGGCGCTTCCGCCCACACAACAAGAAAGAGTACTACCTACATTGAAGCGTAGACATCATCTTTGCTTTGCGTTTTCGTGAGTCTTTGAATCTTTTTTCCCGTTCGATAAACTCTGTTCCAGGCAAAAAGCGGACCACAGAACTCATCAAGTCGATGGTTGATCAAATCTGATTGATCGATGAGGATTGATGAATATTGTGGGTGCATATGTTGTACTAGTACAGTACGCGGTGCAATGTTGCTGCTGAACTTGAACGGGGACAGATGATCAGTCTGTTGACTTGAAACGCTCCTTTGGATTTCCATCTGAGATTACCCTTAACCTTACCGTTGTTGGGCTTAGTTCGGGCTATTAATCTTGACCTTACTGCATAGGAGACAGAGATTAAGAGCTTCAGTCTTCATACGATTTATTTTAGCAAAAAGTGACTGAACTAAGTAAGTTTACTCACAAACTGCCGAATCGCTAAAACACAGGCTTTACTCTGTGGTAACTTTTCGGTTGTTTGACTTTTTCATCCCCTTGGGAATCATCAGTGCTTGGGCTATTGTGGTACTTATGAAATCGAGGTTTATGTCGGCATGCTCCGTATATTTTGTTGCAGGAGTTGATCAGCTTTTCTGGCGATTCTCTGGATCGTTTCAGTATCTCGAGTCGCTCCCTGTTGCATAGGCTGCAGTGTCGTGTCCCGAAGGTCTTGACAGTGCTGATGGGGTTGCCTTGCCAGAGGATGCTAATTTCGATGCTATTCCTTTCAATGTCACCGTTAAGTCGGAATGGTGAAGGAGGTGCGAAGTTTTTGAATTCGTTGGCGAAGTGTCTTGCGTAGGAATCTGACTTGCATTTTCCGTAGAGGAGACGCATGACGTTGGTGAAGTGTTCGTATGTTCGTTCTTTGATATTTCGTTGGGTTCCCAACGTATTCCTTGCCTGAATTTATGCATTTGATGCAGTATATGGCCAGTTTATTTCTACAGCGGTCATCAAATCGGCATTGGCCGTCTTTCTTGTTTCCTGGCTTGCAGTTGCAGGTTTCATTTTGGAACTCCGTGGAGATGACATCTTTGGTGAGCTTCCTCGATAGGTCGCCCGTGAACATCTCTCGCAGGTTGGCGAATCGATGGTAGGATATAGACGTTCTAATCCATTCGAGGTCATGGCTCTTCTTGAGGTCGTTGATTACCTTATGTATTGGGGTCGTCCGTGCGTTGGAGTGTCCTATACAGAAGAATAATGATCGGTTCCGGTTCCTCTTTCATTGCTTGGCATCTCTATCTGGTTCGTTTGCTTTGTACTCTTGTCGTTGGGAGTATCGTTGAATTTCTTCTTGTAGTGTTGGCTGATATCTGGTCTGGAACCAATCCAGCTTTCTTCAGTGCCTTGATGTGTAGTGGGTAGATCTCATTGAGGGTTTGGTTGGCATTCTTGTTGGTGACTGTAGTGAGTTTAGCGAGTCTTTGGAACACCCCTAGTGGGATGTTTTTGAGGCATGCGTTTGTGTGGGTAGTTCTCTTATTTAGATATTTCAGTTGTTGGTTCGGTTTAAGGTGGACTCCTCGGAAGTGAAATTATTCCTGGTCCTACCAGAACAGCTCCATATCTAGATACGGGAATGCTTTTCCACTTTCTACAGTTACTTTGGGGTCGTATTGATCTTTTGGGAGTTGTCTTTTGGTTTGGTCTAGCCATATGCTACAGGTGAATACTAGATAGTCTCCTTTAGCTAGGCTGTTGACTTTGGCCTGAAAGTTGGCTCTCCATTCTACTATCATTTCATATGTCCAAATTCCATTGAAGATTGCAAAACCATCGTCTCTGTAGAGGCCGTAGTATGATGTTTCTTCAAAATGGTCTTTGGTATTTTGCTAGGATGTAGGCTCCTACTAGATCAGACAGCCATGCGGATTCAGTCTTGTCAGGACTGGTGACTTCGGATGGTTGAGACAACGTGCGGCACAACTGGCGTGTGGATGCTTACTTAGGAGGGATTTCGGTACTTAGGGATTACTTAGGGATCCTCGGATGCCGAGGGCGCTGAGTCTTCCTGGGCGTTCAAATCGCTTTCCAGTTGGTGCGAGGGTGAAAACTAATGATCTCTTCCATACTCTCACTCACAAGAAACAAGACATACCGTTCTACATCCTACATGGAGATCCTTGTACAAGCCTGCTCGTAGCGAGACAGCTTGCTAGAGCTCTTGCTAGCTAGCTAGCAAGACTTTCAAGTGGTTATACTTCTTTCTGTGAGCCATGGAGTCCACTTGCAGTACGGTACGGACTTATTAGACCGTGTAATTTGGTACCGGTATCTTATTATAAAGGGTGGCGAGTGTCTGCTTTGTGTGTGGAAAATCTTCTACGGGTTAGCGTTAGGTTTGGTTAGGGTTAAAGAAACGTCAAAATCTTGAGACCGAAGAACCGTACGTAATCTCTCTTCACCACAAGCAAGGACCATGTTCGACTACCGTAGTAGCATGTAGCAGAGAGACAATCAACAGCCTAACCATGACGAATGCTACAACTGATGCTGCTTCTGATGATAAGACTATAGTATGTAGCAGTACTACCACACTATCACCAACACCACCACGCAAATTGCGTGCCTTGGTGATTAGCATGCCAGGTTCCGACCGGCAATCGCACATTGAAGCCATGTTTGCCGACCTTTACGAATTCTTTGAGCCTCCCGTCTTTAGCGAAGGAGTTCCTCAACGACGTCTCCGCAATCGACTCGAGTGCTTGCGATACTGTCACATGGCTGGACTGGTACCGGATCGAGAGTGGCACGCCATTCAAGAGGGATTGAAAGACCCCGATTTGGAACGACAAGATCCCACTCGATTTCTCAACAAGTGTCTTGAAAATGTACCTCTCAACATCGATCAAGACCAACGACGAGGCAGCAAGACCGACCTGAAGGTACACTACTCCATTGAATTATGGCGCAAGGCAAAAACCATCAATCGAGGAAGAGCCGTATTGGCATGTACACTGGCACATCTTATTGCGCTTAAAAAGTGGTACTCTAGTAATGACAATAATGACGACCAATTCGACATGATTTTAGAAGACAATGTCCGAACCACCCTTTCCGATTCGGCCCTTCGAATTTGGCACGCCCGATTGGCTGCAGAGGAATACAACAACAACAACCAGCAGCAGCAGCAGCAACAAAAGTGTCACATGAGATTCCTGGGATGGCTGGGATCCATTCCCAATTTGCAATGGATTCTGCAACGCCATGTCAAAGCACGAGCATTCCAAAGAGACGACAATACGTATGCTAGCCAATACACCATTGTGCCGTTTCCAACGACCAAGGAAATCATGGATGACTTGGAGCTGCATGGATGGGACCAGCCAAATAATGCAGTGACTGATGACACTCCTTCCAACAACAAGACGCCAACTAGTCCTGCATCCGAACGAGACGACAACGACGACACTGCCAATGACTCCAAAATGGCAAGTGGTGCCAAAGCTCACACCCAACCTGGAGGAACACCTGTCTGGGGAAGTTATGCCTACTGGATGTCGCGAGAGGGATATCATGCCCTCTTGCATCGATTGCAAAATGATGTCGGGGCGCTCTTGTGGAAGGGGAAACGGGGTCGCTTTTATCATGTCAAACCGGCCGACAAGGTATTGCCACGAGTACTCATGGAACATTTTGGAAATGGAGCCGTCCAACTCACCACCATGCCGGCATTCTTTCGAGCACCCATGCTCACCAGCAAAATTCATACCCAATTTGACCCCGAATTTTGCAAATCGACCGAATATCAACTCCAGCAATGTGGCAATCTCGATTGGAAAGATCTGTGGTTGACGGACGAGGAACGACAAATTGTACAGCATCGGCAGGAAACGGGGGAATGGATTACTTTGGGGGCGCTCCATGATGAACATGCGCAAACAACAACAAACCAATCCACAACCAGCAAACGGGAAGAATAAAGAGTGCAATGATGGGTTCCAATATACATGGATGCAGTAGTTTGACCATTGCAAATGAAGCTGGGTGTTGGAGACTGTGCAGCAGCAATGCATACCTTGCTTCAAAGGGAGAGAGGAGTGGTACCAATGCAACGAATCGAATCGACCCAAGAGGACCAATACCGGTAGCCGTGCTGCACAGCTGCTTCTGTAAGATTGATTTGATGTAGTTTGCTAAAAGAAAGGACAGGCTGCGAGATCGCTGGCTGAGAAGTTCCTTGATTTCTCTAGCTTGTTGGCAACAACTGTGTTTTAAAGGTAGGTTTCTAAATCCTACCCTAATCGAGAATCCTACCCTACTAAAGTCCTGGATTCGCAATAATTGCTCGATTTGAAACAGAGGCAACCCAAATCAATGGACCAACAACCAACAGCACCATGAAAGTGTACGATGTGCTACTCCCACCGTCCCAATACCTGCACATTGGATAGGGACAGAGGGAGTACAGGTAAAGCCCCTTTGTATTTGCCGATCTGCATGATGACAGTCCATCAAAACTTCCATTCCTATGCAGATTTATGTTTTCGTCACAGCGCAAGATATCTATCTAAGGCAAGCCTTCACCAAAAGCACCAGGGAAGAAGCGTGACACAAATCCAGTAACCGCTTGCTGCACCCGCTCCAAACCATGACAATCGTGGCCGTGGCCCACAGAGCCATGGACAATGATGAAGCACGGCTCGCCAATATTGCAGCATCCAGGCTGATACTTGCCAGGAGCAAACGTTTCCCCACCGTGCCGGTCCCGAGGTAGAGTGCTTCCAACATGCAGATGCCCGTTCTTGAGGCCCGGATCGAAGCACACACCACTTGCTGGGAGTCCTGACCAATCAGCAGTACTGCAATACGTTGAACTGTGGTCAGTATCATCGTCACTATACCAATCGTCATCGTCCCAATGGCCGCCCCCGCCCATTTCGTCAGGTTCAAGAAGAAGACGCCGACGATCATGAGAAGAGTCGTACCCACCACAATTGCAGTAGCCTCCACCACCTCCGCCAAGTCTGCGATGGCAACCACCTCCACCGCCACCACCACGGCCTACACCACACTCCTTAGCTGTAACAGTCACATCTCCAACATATGTGCCTTCATTGTTGTCATTGTACTGACCGGCACCAGCCCACATAGTGAAACTGTAAGTTGTGGTGCCTGTGAAGTTCGAAATGAATTGGTACCAACCCCAGCGTGTAGGAATCCGAATCTCGGTAGCACTCTGTGGTTGCCCGAACAAAGTTTCTTCGCTTACAGTGGTTACGCAGCCTTCCACCGGAGCAGGGGTTGGTGCTGGAGTTGGAGTTGGTGCCAAGCGGGTCCAAGGAAAGAGAGCAGGAAGGGAGTAAGTATTGGACAGTAAGCACTGGTATGAGTAGCGGTGGCGCAATTGGACAAGTGACTGCACTGTGTAGCATTCAATCTGAAACCTTGATAATTCCATTGGGAATTGATTGCTCACCTGGGGTTGGTTCTATGGTTGCATGCCAGAGAAAACAGCAGTAAAGACACATTGTTGTGGTGTCACGCAAGGCATTCCTGTCTTGATGAACAGAAGTTCTGGCTTACCTGGGGCAGGTGCTGGAGTTGGTGCTATGTTATCCAAAGAGAGCAGTAACTCATCAAATTCTAAAGTGTTTTTTGCAGCTGCAAGCTGGTCTATCTGAAAGCAACTTCTGGCTCACCTGGAGTGGGTGCAGGACTTGGTGCTAACACAGTCCATTCAGCACAACACATCATCTCTTCTGTTAGAGTGTTATCCCCACATGACCAAACCAAAGCATAGATGTATCTGATGGATGGACTTACCAGGTGTTGGAGCCGGCGATGGTGCAGGCGTGGGAGCTGGTGTTGGTGCTGTCAAATCACCAAGCAAAGGATGTGTTAGACTGTGGTTTCAAGAAGAGCAAAGGTGTGCTATGATATGCACGCAACTCATGGCTCACCTGATGCAGGTGCAGGTGTAGGTGCTAGTGCATCCCACAGAGAAAGCAACTTTACTGTTAGCATGTAGTTTGCATCCTCTCCAAGCTGGCCCATCTGATGAAATGAAGTTCTGACTAACCTGGTGTGGGTGCTGGGCTTGGTGCCGGACTTGGTGCTGTTTATCCCAGAAAATTAGCCACAACAGCTCCACTTTTAGTACTTGTTTCCAAAAGGCAAGTGAGGCAAGACTACTGCTGGAGCAGTTTCAAATTACCTATTGTTTGCATGTGTTATCCATTCAAGAAGGCAAGCAAGGGCATCATTGAGGTGTCTTCAAGCATGCTAAATAGTCCTCCTGTTGCAGCAGAAGTCCGACTTTGACTTACCTGGGGTGGGGGGAGGAGATGGCCCAGGCGTTGGAGCCGGAGCGCCAGAACAAAGGAAGCAAAACTCTATGTGACTAATGGCGGCCCCGGAAGGTGATACCATGCCCGTGACTGCGGTGTTTGCGGTTGCAGAATAGAGATTGCCCGCAGGCCCACCCTTGATGAAGATTCCTACATTAACTGTAGATGTAACTGAAGCACTCTTAAACTGCGAACCATCTGCGTCTGTACATGTCAAAGTGTAGGTGCCTGTAACACTGGCGGCGGTGCAAGAGGTGCAGTCCTCGTTGAGGCTAGTTGCTTCCAAGTCAAAACCGCCTGTTGAAGAGACGAAGTCATACGCCTGGTCAGTGACATCTTCGCAAGCTGCATTGCCACCTTCTGCTGACTTCCAGCCGTAATCATAACCCATTGTCACACAGTTGGGGTTGCCTTGCCAAACTTGGATGAGTGGCGAGGCGGTCGAAGCTGTACAGTCAGTGGAAGCTGTGCACATGTCTTCTTGGACGTCATTGCTGCAACTCCCAGAGCCCAAATCTAACAGATCTCGAGCCTGAGGAAAATGCGTACAGGGTGAGTCAAGTCGCTGTAGACTCAACAGGCAAACTTCCAGGTCCAGCTACGAGACAAGGATCAATTCGTTTCTTACGCTCACCTTGGGAGTTCGAAGGCCTCCACTCGCATCAATGTCAACTGCTTCTGCAAGAGAAGAAGCATTCGAAAACAGCAAGATGACACCTAGTAGCAAAGCTCTTGGAATGTCGCTAGCCCTCATTTTTGTTGGAGCCAGTCTTTGGACACTACGATGACTAGCCAGCAAGCTTTACGATCAGTGTCAAGCACCGAATTATGTGACAACATCCATGTCCCTCCACTAGCTAGCTACGGTACGTACCACGCGAGGGACATACTGATGCAACACATTCCTTCCTCGAGATTCTTCCGATCATATCCAAATTGGTCTGTGCGTTCCAATCTTACATTATCAACCGGATCTTTTGCACAGGCCACCCTGGAATGACGGTTTTACCGCATCTTGTTTAGTTATGGCGTGTTCCAAACAACCGGCCTTGTTGCCAAGGCGCACGCACAAGTGGCCTGGCTTGCCGAAGATTGCTTGTGATATCCATGAACACTTCTGGCGTGTTCTCTTAACTGGAGTCGAGTCGAGTCGAGTGACCGTCGAGTCGACGTGAGACCAAGGAACATCCTACCGTATCTACTCTGCTGTACGGGAGTCCAAATGAGCGTAGTTCGTCTGATGCCAGTAGTCAGCGAGTAAATGGAGGCTCTCGCGCTGGGCTTTTTTCGTTGAGGACTTCGTAAGTCAAGAGGGGGTTAGCTATACCGGTACCGGTATACCTGGTAGCTAGTGGCAGATGAATCCCATGCGCATTGGTGCAAGATAGTAGGTCTTGGTCCAAGGGTTGCGGAGTGGTGCGGAGCCCCTGCTGTCCAAATCGAGTTGATCTATACCAGTAGATCTACGTTGTTGGCTCTGGTTCTAGCTACGGTAGGGGTTGCTACTAGCTAGAGTGACGACGATGCGGCTAGTTGGTCCAGTGTCGACATAACATACTACAAGAATTATTTCGTCGCATGACCTACAGCCCAGTCCTTTCCCAACTGGCCCAACAGCAGGGCATGCCATGGATGATGAAAGTGGTTCAGCGATCTATCGCTTCTGACGCTTCACGGGCTGGCTTTCCTCCACATGGCTGACTTCCTCTTCCGAAATCACACCGAGGTACTCAAAGTGCAACACAGCCTTGTCTTCTTTCGACAAATGACTGTACTGGAACGCGAAGACCGGCTCACCTTCCGAAAGATAGGCGGCTTCTTGGCGGAAGGACTCTGGCTTGATGATGCCATCGTCAGCATGTCGACGAAACAATTCAACCAGATTCCACATGGTTTCATCGTTTCCCATGGCCTGCAAGTTCTTGAGCAAATGGGAGATGAGTTTGTCCATTGTAGCCAGCTCGTAGCCTCCGTGTCCCAACAAACAACGAACACGGTCCTCGTATTTTGTTCCTTCCGCAGCGGAACTTCCTCCATGAGACGACATGCCGGTTCCTCCGTCTAACAGTGCATACACAAGGCTCAAGAACGCCTCGTAACGACGACGACCAAGCGATTCCTTGTCGTCTCCCTCCATCTGCTCAACCAATGTACAAAGCGTCATATCGTCCGCAATGCTGTAAGCGACTCTCTTTGCAATGTTGAGACGGCGAATGAGAATCTGATGGAGCCGGAAAAACAGATAGAGGCTCTGGGTTCCAATTGAGAGCATATCTGTGGGACGGTCCATCTTAGTACGGTCCTCGGCACGAAGCTGGGTGGTATAGTCGGACTTCTCGACGGTCATCACCGAACACAGGACAGCGCTTGGATGGAGGTATGCCTTTGCTCCAAATGGAAGATCAACAACGTATGTGTTGTCCGAGCGACGGAAGCATGAAACTCTGCCCTCGCCATAGACGGTGGACACATGGGAACCTGCAGGCAAAGGGTGATGATCGAGAATGGCGGATGTAGAGGCATTCGTGGCTGCGGCGGGAGTTTCTTTGCGCGGCTCTTCAGTGACAACAGTGCGCGGCGGGTGAGATTCGGTATCTTCTTCCATGCTATCATCTTCTCCTCTTCCTCCCTCGGCCATCTGAACATCATCGCTACCGGAGTTCTTTGTCACAACTGCAGGTGGGCCAGTAGCAGTTGTAGTTTCGTCTTGGATCCCCATAGCCGGCTTTTGCATCCAGTTGAGACTGAGGCCAAACCACGGTCCAAGGAAATCAATCCACAGACGATGGCAGCGCTCTTTGTCGGATGGCGAGATGGAGCCTCGTTCAAGCGCAAACGACAAGATGCGGTAGGCGTCACGCTGTGCCCATGTGTTGTTCTCGAACATGAGACTGAGGTGAGGAGTGAAAATCCTCCTGTCGGGTTTGGGAAGATTAGTCAGATCAAGTTGTCGCGATAGGGATTCACCCATGGTGACTTCGTAGAAGGTGCCGTGCTCTTCCTTTGCTTTCTCAAGTTTTGCTTGAATAGCAGCGTCGCCTTCTTTACCGCCGTTCGCAGCTCTGTCTTTTATTTCGGCAACGAGAGTTCGTGTGCTCGTGCCTCGCTTATCCGTCGTCCTCCAGGTCAGACTGCGGTGATCAAGACTCCGGTAGTAGTTGATCTTGGCAAGATCTTTCCAATGATGATTCAGACGTTCTCTGACCACGAGCCATTCGCTGTTTTTCTGGCGAAGGCGCTTGACCACAACTGGGATGGCGACGGTTGGATTCTTGACCATCAGCTCCAACATCTCCTGACCGGCGTCGCCATAGATACGATCGATCGAGTTGCGGTGAATGACACCCAAGATGTTCTTGTCAAAGCTGTAGCGAAATCGTCGGCCACCAAGTCCTCCACGTCCAGACGGCTTGTTCCCTGGATACAAGTCCTGTGTCATTGGCTCATCACGAGACAACTGGGCAATCTCTTTTGCGATGGGTTCCAGTCGCCTCAACGTGGTCGCATTGCTGTCGATCACCATGTCGATCTCGAAACGTTCATCTTCGCACCTGAAGAGGATCTCTTCGTACGTGTTTCGTCGCATATGACGGAAGGTGTAACTCTCTTCGCTGCCAACGGGTAGTGAAACCCAAACATCGTTGAGGACCTTCTTCTCCTCTTCGCTACGGTCACTGCATGGCGGAGCAGGATAATCACGTGGGAGGGCGCGGTAGGACGGGCTGCATCGGCGGCAGCGAGAGAAATCGATTTCCGAGAGGGGGACGGAGTACCAAGCATCTTCCAACGACGGGGGTTGCCCGGTCTGAGACCCGGCAGCAGCAAGAATGCGCTTGAACTCTTCGAAGAGTTTTGCATTTCGCTTTCCCAACAAGGGTTCGACTATATGCATCATCTCCGTACGAGAGAGGATCTCTTGTGCATACAAGTCCAAACACTTGAGGAACTCGGCCCATGCCTGCCCACCATCGCGGGAAAACGAGGTCAAAGCCTCACGGGCTGAATCAAAGAACTGACGTTCAACAGCAGAATTGTACACGGCAGTTTCTGGCTGCGGGACGGCAAGAGGTGCAATGGGAGCGCCCTTCACCGTCGTGCCGTAAGGGCGTTTTGTTCCTCTGTTGGCAGCTTCGCCATCGTCCGGCGCCTGCCCCTCAGACAGGTCCATGATGACCTTTGGATCATTCGCAGGTGCTCGTTGGCCTCTCATCTTCTCTTGCTGAGCAGCTTGTCCCATTCGCTTAGCTTGTTCTGCAGCCTGACGGGCCTCAGATTCTGCCGCAGCACGATGAAGTCTTTCCTTTGCTTGCTCTTGAACAGCATCTGGGAGGAAAAATGTGAACTCTTTGAGAAGATCAGGGTGGTCCGCAAACAAGCGAGCGACTTCTTCCAAGACTTGCTTGATTCCACGTTGTTCCTTTTGGTAGGTGTGAAGGATTTCCAGGAACGAATGGTATGTCTTGGGATCATCGGCAAACCTCCTCTTGATTGTTGTGACATAGGATATGGCATGATCAAATTCCACTGGTGGAGGCTGCTGCGCCTGGGCAGCGGCTTGCGCTCCTGGCTGCTGGGCACGAGGGGGTGCTTCTTGGGGCCGCCCTGCTGCGGGTTCTCCTACACGGGCCTGAGCCCCAGGAGGAACCTGAGCTTGGGGCTGCCTCTGCATGTCTTGTGCGCCTCTACCGGCACTTCCATGGGTAGGAAGCCGTCCTCTTCCTCCTCTACCCCGGCCTCTTCCTCCACCCGTGGCTGATCTTGGAGCTGCTGGCTGTCGTGCAGCTTGAGCTGGGGCACCCACCGGACCTGACGTCTGCTGCTGCAACAGCGGCGGGCGGTTACTCTCTACCAGCTGCTGTTGTTGCCTTTGCGCCTGCAGCTGCATTGGTGGAGCCTTAGGCTGAGCTTGAGGCGATGGATGCTGGAGCCCTTGTCTCTGTTGTTGTTGCTGCTGCTGGAGTTGTTGTTGCTGCTGTTGCAGTTGCGCTTGTGCCTGCTGCCGCGCTTGCGCTTCTGCCGCAGCAGCAGCTGCCGCAGCAGACTCTGCCTGCTTCTGGGCTGAGTTGGCTCTATTCATTCTCTCGAGGTCCTCAACACTGATCTTGTATCCATCTGGCAAGAACTTGTTAAACCCTAGAATGAGATTGTTGTATCCATGAAAGAGTCTCGACACCCTAGCAATCACTCCGGGAGTGTCAACTTCTTGACTCTTGAAGTTCTTCATGATAGATAGGAACTCATTGTAGACTTCAGGCCGGTCATCAAATGCCCTCTTCACGTCGTCCAAATAGAGCAAAGCATCCTCTACACGAAGCTCTCTCATTCCACCGCCCCCGCCACCTGGAGGGATTGGTGGGCCGCCTCCACCACCAGGGGCAGCAACGGGTAAACCAGCCCGAGGTCCATTGGGCAGCCGTGCGAGTCCCTGTGCTGGCTGCGGTGCTTGCACTTGTTGCTGCGCAGCCATCGGTAGAGGCCTCCCTTTGGGCGCCCCACCTCCCGCGAGACCAGCCAGGGACGGCGAACCGTGAGCTTGCGCACCGCCAATGGCACCTGCGCCAGGACGGGCAAAGGGTTTGGGCCCTCCAGATAAAAGGCCGGGTGCAGCAGCACTTGCACCAAAATGTACTCCCGCACCAAAAGTTGTCTGCTGCGGAGGCCTTCCCCCGACTGCACCGCCCAACAATGAGCTTAGAGGCGCTTGAGCAGCAGCGGCTGCTTGGGATGGGGCCAAACCAGGCAAACCACGAGCTCCATTGCCTGTGGGAGGCTGCCCAGGAGCACCCGCTGGGTTGTTGGATTGCATTGGACTTTAGAGAAAAATGGAAGAAATTGGTTAGGGTCAGCGTTCTAGAGAGCAAGGCGAGGTTGTGATACGAATGAACCCAAACGGGACCGATCCCGACTGAAAAGAAAACTGCGAGTCACTAGTAACAACAGCACTTCAAGACCCCTTCTCCTCGATGATCGCTAGAGCCATCCTGCCTCTGATATGAACCTTTTGTCTCCCGCTACCATCATAAGATGGCCTCCATGAGCTTCACACCATCTGGAAGAGTCATCTTGAGCTCGCTGGCCACGGGCGCCCATTGGGAACCGCAGGAGACGAAACAGATTCCGAGGCGGCATCCGCAAAAGAACCAACATTCCAAACGCATCCCTTTGGCCAACAACTAATTCCCAGAGTACTGATGTCCTTCTTACCTTTGTTACTGTTTCTTAGAAGAGTGTATTGATTGCGTTTCTGTGCTGGGTGTGTTTCGAAATCTTCCTCTTCGGTCGAGACGAGTGCTTCTTGTCGCTGTGATGAGGGAGGCACAACTCCACTCAACAGCTCAACTCAATGAGAGTTCAGTTTACCGTGTGGTTGTCACACTCGCGAATGAACGAGTTTGTTGTGAACGGACACAAACGCGTGGTTCTTTCGAAGAGGTGCCTGTCGCTTCCCAGGGAAGGCTCGCTCGATCCGGAAGCACACAACTTCCTTGGATTTATAAGCATTCAGAGCTACCATTACATCACATCATTCAAGACGTCAGCTGAGGGCAGCCACTCACTCCCCGAGAAGGCTGAAATCGCATGAGATGAAAATAATGAAGGCAACTGTGATGAGACCACTACATCTACTTGTCATCCACAGAGTGGAGAATGGAACTAAGACAAGCTGCTACAGGCTACGGTACATGCCTCAAGAGGAGACCGAAACAAGTTGCTATTAACCGATGTATGTATTGCTATTATAAACTTTAGAAAGCGTGAGGTGCTACCGTATGGGTCCTTGTCCTCCGTACAAAATAAGGATGATACACCTTGCTGTGTCTAGCCAGCTAGCTAGCTAGACTTTGCCGGGAGGGTGTGCGGCTGAGATACTAGTAGCGGTGATAATCCTCGTCGTCCTCCAATGCCTCTTGCAAGGCATTTGCTTGTAGCTTGTTTCGCAGGGAATCAAGATCGATGAGCTCCCACACCTGAAATAATGATGTATCAAGAGATGAGAAAGATGAGAATGATGCTAATCCACACTGCGACGAGTCGAGTTAGTCAGATAGATGATGTGCACGGCTTACCTTCAGAATCCGCCCATCGACACAAGTAAACTCGGAGGCGCCCGTCCAAGAGATTCTCTTGCCTGTACCAGGGAACCCCAGCAAGGAACCGGTGTGCTTGCCACTAAACTGGAGACGACAGAATGCCTTGTTCCCTTCGACGACCATGCAGTGGACCTCGCAATGGTAGTTCTCGATAACGCGATGAATGTGATCGACGGTTTGGGCTAGGCCTTCGTGACCGATCTTGTCGAAACTACTACCGTCGCTACCTGTAGTATGCATAGGATGCAATAAAATTGTGTGAGAAAGACGGATCCAAACATACTAGGCGAATGGCGGTCATCTACGCTACCGCGATTCTTACCGTTCATGCGAATGTCGGGACTGCAGATTTGAGGGATAAGGTCGAGATGGCCGCGATTCCAGATCTGGCCAAGGTAGAACTTGACCAAGTCTTTTGTTTCTTCCACTGGAGTGGGCTCGCCCACCAAGATATCGGTCACGGTGGGGACGACATTCTTGACAATGGCAGGAGCACTGGCGCGTCGCTGCTGTGGCGTGTTCGTCTTGGCGGGAGGATCGAATGGCAACGGGTTGGCGGCAAAGAAGGACGCTTCTTCGGCTTCGTCTTCCATCGTCGGTTCCTCCCTGTAGCGGTCACTGTTGAAGCGGTCCGAGTAGGAAAAGTCAATCTCGCTGTTGTAAGTATCTTCCTTGAGCTCTTCGTTGATGTCGTAGTTGGCGTATTCATCGTCGTCCTCCAAGTAAGGGTTGTGCAAATGGGCCGACATGCCGCCACGGGACATGATGGAGAAGGTACTCATCATCTGCTGTGACGGTCCGCTTCGAGCCAATCCATTGCGACGACGTTCCTTCTGCTGGACGTTAATGTTAACGGGAACATCGGAAGCTACCTGCGAGGCCTTGCTGCCGGCAGTGCTCGCAGTGTTGTTGCTTCCAGAGTTGGCAAGCTTCTGCTTGCGTCCTAGAAAGGGCTTCATCGTCTTGCGCTTGTGGTTGGATCGTTTGAAACTCAAGAGGGCCATGGTGGAAGAATGAATGAATGGATGGATGAATCGAATCGGAACGTAATCTATCTAGCTGGGCGCTAAAACTGAAAATTGTGAGGAGGACGACGTGAATGGTGGAACACTGAGGCTCCAAAACAAAGCAGGGTGAAAGCTTCAAGGGTTTACGATGGGGTCATCATCTGATCTGAATGAGAAAATCTCCGCGAAGTCATCTCGGACAAGATATATATCTCTATGTCACCAGGCAAGAGATGTTTATGATGGTCAGGTCATCTTTGGTTGAGTCCAGGTTCGTCGCGTGCTGGTTTACTGGTTTGTTGATAGTCGCTGGGTCACCAAGTTCACCATGGACCATTCAGTACAAAATCGACTCCCGTGCTTTGTTGGCAACCACGGATGAGGAGGTGGCGTCTTGTGAAACACGTTCTCGTTTGGCTTTGTTGTTTTGCTGGGGGGACAAAAACGAAAAGGGGTGCTGCAATCTGCAAAGGGGTGATACCGGTATCGTGCCAAAACAATATCCAGTCAGCCTGGTTGGGGGACAGCAAACAAAATCCTTTTGGGAACAAGCTGCTGGTAGCTAGGTTTGCCCAGTCGTTCCAAAAGAGAGGAGCCAGTCCTCCAAAAGCCGGTGCCTATGCATAGGTGTGAGGTGGCCGAGGATAATGGGTTGGTTTACTAGCTACTAGGCAGCACACAGCTGTATGGTACGGATTTGTTCAGGAAAGCCTGCCGTACCAATACCTTTGGGAAGTGGCTGCTGCAGCACCGAGCACGACTGTCACTCTGGGGCTGCATGGATCATGTTTGGAAGCAGCAGCAAAGCAGCAAGACGTCCTCTATGGTCCCCCCTCTTTCGAACTGGCTGTTTTGGCACAAACCCAAAAGAAAAAATGCTATGTTCCCAATTCCTGAGTCGACTGGCTGAACGGTATCTAGTTGCATGACAGTTATCCGCCGCCAACGAGATGGTGCAAGCGTTAGACGTGACAAGCATCAGCTCCGCACTAGCACGGGAGCGAACTGAAGGAAGCAAGCTGTCTGCGAGGTTTTATCGGTACTGAAACTTTTTTGTGGCTCTCGCGTTATTTTGCTTGGGAGCGACGAACCAGCCTTGAGCTCGAGGCAGCGTGCTAAAGCCCGCATCATGCTGGTGTGACTTACCTAGATAGCCAGCTTTCCCTTTCGAAACATCAGTGCTCACTGATGAGCTACATGTTTGGTTCTTGGCGGCCGCAAAAGCAGAAGCTTGGCCATGCATGTATGCGGTGCGTGGCAGAAAAACCACCAGTGCTCGAGTACCTTCCGTACAAACTCTAGCTAGCAACCCACAAGCTCAAGCTAGACTACAAGAACACAAGAACCTTTGGCCGATGTGCATATTTCTGATACATGTGCAGTCGTACTGTATGCATATGAATCGAATCCTCAAACCGTACCGGTACACCAGAACAATGCCACAAGTCTTCGTGATTAAAAAGAATCATCCAAGAACAACCCCTCACGTAGAAGACTTAAAGGTGGTGTTTTCCCGGTTACTTAAAGGTACCGCTTCGGTACGGGGGTGCTGGAACTAGGAGGCTAGGAGGACATCTTCTGCCACTCTCACAAAACAAACCAACTCAACACAAACCCCAAAGAAAACTGATTTAAAATGACGCGCCTGTACAACAACTTCAAGAAAACGCTTCCCAAGCTTGATGGCAAAGTTTTTGTCATCACCGGAACCACCTCAGGAACAGGCTTTGTTGCCGCCCGCACTGTTGCCGAGCTTGGAGCAGAAGTGCTGCTTCTCAACCGTGAATCCAGTCGTTCCAAGGACTCTTTGGAAAAACTCCAGAGCACTGTGACAGATGGAAAATTTGTTCCCATTAAGTGTGACTTGCAGGACTTTGCCTCTGTTACTACAGCTGCCAAGGAAATCAAGTCCAAGTACAGCCAAATTTATTGTCTCGCCAACAATGCAGGAATCATGGCCACACCTGATGAAGCAACCAAGGATGGATATGACACTCAAATGCAAACCAATCACCTCAGTCACTTTTTGCTTACAGCTGAGCTATTTCCTCTGCTTGAGGCAGAGGCTAATGCCACTGGTGATGCTCGCATTGTTAATCACTCCTCTCTTGGACGTGAGCACACACCCAACAATGGTGGTCTGGAAGAGAAGTACTTCCTCAAGAATGGAGGCAACTTGGGTGGAAATGAGCAAATCATGATGGGTAGTGGTCCCTACCATCGATACTTCCAAACCAAGTTGGCAAACTCTGTCTTCACTCATGCATTGCATGAAAAGTTAAATGCAAAGGGCTCCAAGATCCGTGCAGTGTGTGCACACCCAGGGGGGTCCAACACTCACCTGGGTGATCACCTCAACTATGGATTTTTCACAAATGCTATCTTGAGATTTGCGATGCAGTTTATGGTCCAGTCAGCCGAAGATGGGGCAATGGGTTTGCTCACTGGTATGGCCAGTCCTTCTGCGGAATCTGGTGTTTTGTATGGCCCTTTGAATGGGAAACAAAAGAGTGCAATGACTGGAAAAGCTGTTCCAAACCCTCCTCAGCCCTATGAGACAGACAAGGACGCCATGGATATGCTGTGGCGTACAAGTGAGGAAGCTACTGGTGTGAAGTTCACAATTTGAACTTGGCTCTCTTGTGGAACTCGGCTCTCTTGTGGAGAAAGAACACATTGGCATCCTGGTAAAGTTGTACATTGTTTGTCATAGCTTTTTTTGATTAAATGAAATAACTATAGTTTTCAGTTGGAAGAACACAGAGCTGTATGCACCATGCAATCCAGTAGATTCTGCTGCTTCAGATTCCCACCCATCCAGAGCTGAAAGATCTTGTCCTCGACGAGTCGAGTCAAGTCTAGTTGGTGGCGGCTTCTTCAAGGGACCTCCAAGTAAGAGATGTGTGGTGCAGAGAGACAGGATCGCCATGCCTAGTTCGTTACAAGCAAAGCAATTTTTTTACTAGTAATTTTTACGGAGCTGTGGTAGAGACGAACCATTCAGGATACGCTGTACTTCGGGGGGAGGCTTTTAGCTTTGTTAGACTTATTATACCAGTACAGGGAGAACAATGAGGAGCAGCCCCGAGGTATGACATATAACTCCCGTTTCACGGAACCTTTTTTGTAAAAGTTTTACTAGTAGGCATCTTGGTATATCGGCGGCGCGAGCGTCCCCGGCCGGCCAGAAGCCATTCGAGCTGGGATATGGGGCCCAGTGAGAGTACAAAAGCAAAACAATGTAAATAACAAATTCGACTCACCAGGAGCTAAAAAAGTAAACTAACAAACAACGAAAGGCAATGAGGTGAGAGGCGCATATGGAATTTGCGTACAACCAGTGCATGGATGGATCAAGCTTGTAGCCCTCCTCAACATCTATATGAGCGGGAAGTCAGTAGCTGCCTTGGTTGTAGAGTAGTGCGCGTAAAACAATAAGGTGCTTTCTGGTACTGTAGAAAATTGTA